TGGCCGTTTACACACATTATTTCTAACGATATGTGCTTTTCATCTCTTCTATAGAAATGAGTGGAGAGTGTCCCGAAAATTCTGCAATTCCCGCAGGCAAGGGTTTGCCCTAGTTTCCAGGTGGGCACCTCCCATGTATCTGTCCCCTGAGAGTTAGTAGTAGCTGCTTGGTATGGGGATACGGAAATGCTAGTTAATGTTTCTATACCTATGAATCTACAGGCATATCCAGGTATAGCGCATCTACACTTACGCTGCGTATGTACTACTGTTTCCCACATCCTGTTTCCCAATGCAGGAATGACCCGATAGCCTCGCCAGTTGTGGTTTCCCCGGCCATGCTGTTTAGGGTCGCCATAATACCTTGGTTGTTTCTCCTATTCGCGTTCAACCTCGTGTATCTGATGCATTACGTTCTTTTGTCTCTTAACTTTCTGCAACAGTTTCCAGTTGCACCCGCTTGTTCTCTTCTATTCCCTCTACCCCCCCAGGTTATTCACCAAAGTCTCACGTCTGGATAGCTTGAATTCATTGCCTCCATCATGAACTCCATGGGAGGAAGCATGGAAGAAGACTGCCAGGGACAGTCTCTTGGTGTATCCTCCGTATCAGAGCCCACTGCCGTGCCTCTGATTCCAGCTTCCAATCAAGAGTCTCACAGCTTCAAACGATGGATAAGGAGCATGCGGAAGAGGAGGACTCCAAACTACGATGCTCCTCCACGCTATGTTGTGGGGTGGCCGGACGATGAGAGTAAAGACGAGAGTTATAGGATGTTCCCAACGCTTTACCAAAGCCAGCCAGATCGTTCGTCCACTGCATCCTCGTCAAATCTCCACACCGTCAAAACCGCCAGTGTTGGAAGCCTAAGCATGCTGACCCGGCCGCGGACGAATACCCAAACAAGCACCCAACGAAGCGCGTGCCACAGCAGTGCTTTTTCTGGGTCGGATGCAAGGGTATCCATGGAGAGCAGCAGGCTGACATCCACGCTGTCCCTAGATGAAGGTGCATGGAACCGTGCTGTCCAAAGACGGCAGGTAATACGGGAGATATTGGAGACAGAGATCACCTATCTTGCGGGGCTAAAGGCGCTGGTAGAAGTAAATTGACTTCACGTTAACCCCTTACCTTATTACTTCTCCTGGAATACTGACGTGTTAAAAAGGTTCTGAACACCCTAGGAATCACCGAAACAGCACTGCAGCGGAGCACGCTCGATCTGATCAGCTTACACGAGGATCTTATGGCTAAGTTGGAGGGCACGATGCCTAGGCCAGACAGGGTCATAACCCCGATATGGATGACTGCGCGACGTCATATTAAGTTTGGCAACATGGATGCTGGCCTGGCGAGAGCAAATCGAAAATCAGTGACGACGAGAAAGCTGCGTGAACCTATCGATTCCCGGATTGAATCCTCCAAATCGGTGGCAGCAGAACCAAATGAGGCTGCTGCGGTCGCTAAGTTAATGCAGTCAATGGTAAAATTTACGCCTGTTATTCTGTTTGACTACTACCTTTTGTATCAAAGACTAACCCACTATCTTCTGCTATAGCTTCCGAAATTTAAAGTTTACGAGGACTACGGCGTTAAATACCAACTCGTAACCAAGGAGATAGACCTGTTGCGCAAATCAATAACGAGTTGGCAAGATTTCGATCATGGGATTGAGGCTCTTTTGAAAAATGTGGCTTCTACTAATACCCGTGAAGCCATATCTAACCAATGTTTCACACTTGGTGATCTTCTGATGAAAGCGAGTGCTGATTCTTAATTCTTGTGAGCGTTGCTGAAGGATGCTGCTAACGATCACATGTCACAGCCGATCCAACGGGTTTGCAAATATCAGCTATTCCTTGCTGAGCTCCTCAAAAACACGCCTGTTGCCGATTGCCCTTCCTCACACTCTATAATTGAAGTAGCCTTACAACAGACGCTGTCAGTATCACGGGACATAAATCGTGCTACTGGGGACCCGGTAGCTAAGGATCGGATTCGGAAAACTATGCTCCTAGGCGAGAAGCTCGAATTTGCGAGGAAGGTATGGATCCAGTTTTGACCAGTTGTATTAACTGCCTGTTTTCACGGGTTAATTTGTTTTATGAACTAGGGTGATCGTAGTGTTCTCCACGATTTTGGACCTATCAAAGTGTGTGGAGCTCTTCATGTTACATATCAAACCAAAGACAGCGTAACCGGCGAATACATGTTGTGTTGCCTATTTAGCAAGTATTTGCTGCTCGCAGCCCCATGCGAAGACAATCGAAAATTCAATGCCGTTGCAGTAATTCTCGTTCAGGGAGCTAGTGTAGAGCCTGCGGATAATGGCATAGGTTAGTAATGGCATTTTACATTCTAGTAAATCCCCAGAAAATATGGTAACTAATAGATATCAGGCCTCCACTGTTTATATGCCCCTTTCTCCTGGAAATTGGTCTTCGAGATCCGGAAGCAAACTTTTGAAATACTATTGACCGGATGTTCTGAAAGAGAAGCCTCTAGCTGGAAAGATCACCTTCTGAGACAGTCGCTAGCTGAGATTCCCAATTCTTTGGATGAAAATATTATTACGCAGAAATACTCCACAACCCAACTGGCTATGAAGCCAATTGGCGCAATTGTTTTTGCTGGACAAGTCCATGACCTTACCCGTCGCTCATCAATCCACGGATCTCTGTTTACTACGCCTTCGCACACAGATTGTGTCCGTCTTCTCATTAAAGGAACCCAAGCTGTACCCCATGAGAACTATATCAGGCCATCCACTCTGGGAAGATCCCAATCCCTCCAATTAGCCCGTCAGTCTATTGTTCTTTGCCCCAAGAGGCAGGACAGGATTCGCATGGAAAAAGCGCTCTATGATGTTTGGACGTGTGATGTTCTTCCATACCCTGGTATGCCAGCTTGGAGGGGAGAACACCTGATACGCTCATCGGCAGAATCATTTATTAGACGGCTGAGTTCGAGGCGGCCATTCACCAGGAGATCCAGCAGCCTCACGACGACGATCACAGCTAAGTCTATTGATCGTACCGCCACGTATAAGGAAGTGAACTCCATCGACGACTACATAGGACCTATTGAAACCTTTTCATCCTGGACGAATTCTATCAAGACCCAGGAGATTGTTCATGAGGAAGCAAAGGATGATTTCGACCGCCGTTTGTTTGGGGGTGTCGATCCATACCAACGGAAAGGATCATCAAGGGGGCGGGGAGAAAAGAAAGAGGGGAGTAGTCCCTCCGGGAATGAACGCAACAAGCCATCACTCAGGAAAAGATGGAGCATTTCAATTTTCAAGGGAAACACCCCAGTTCTACCTAGCATTGCCTGTTGATTCTGCATGCCGTGTAAGTAATACAGTATTCCTATACAGCACATAGTTTTGGGGAGCATCATAGGGTAGTCTAAAGGGAAGAAATTGGTTGGAGTTATTATGACGTACCAGGCCATTTGAATGCAGTGTCACTCAATAACATCGCCTGCATTGGAAGCCGGGGTGGAGCCGATGACGTCGTTGACTGGATGGATGACAGTGACATCACTAAGATGTTCGCAGAAACCTTGCTTTCAAAATGAGAACCTACAAATCGGAGTAGATGTGTTCTAGTACGTATACCTATTAACGTTTTTCTTCCTCCCAGGTAACATAAGGAGAAAAGTATCAAGTTCAGATCTTGCTCTCCAACTCTTATACATATATCTATACCTGCCTTGCCATATTACTGTTTCTCTGTCCCCTGATAGACCTTCGGAGAAAATAAGGGAAAGTTCCTCTTGTATTGGGAAAGTAAGGAATTCCCTCTTGAACTGAACTCTATATAACTAGCTCAGTGGGCGCCCCAAATAATCCCTGCTGCTCTCTATATTTTGAGAACAATTTCATCCTCTGCTTCATCTATACTCATAATCTGCCTTTATCCTAAGTCCCACCTATTCGAATAAGGACGAACGAAACAATCCTCCTTTCCTACCCCCGTTGAACACAACAGAATCAAATCAAAAAAGAAAATTAAAATAATCATGGCTCGCGGAAACGTCGGTATCTACAAAGTTTTCTACAAAGGCAACACGGACGACTTCCTCGTCTTCATCGACGACGTCGCGATGGTGAAGAAATGGAAAAAGGATCATTCGATCCCATTGGCACAGGTCGTGAGTGGGTTCCAGGTCTTCATTACGCATCGGTATGTTGTTTGCCCTCCCCTCTCTAACCTTACATTCCCTTTCTCTTCTATTTGGCTTCATATATGATGGAGATATGTGACTGTTGACACCTTTCGTTTATATTTTTTGTTTCAATAGACAAGGTGCCCAGGGTATTCATGACACGGCAAGCAATGCCATACTAGATTCTGAGTTCGGGACGGAGGATACGGTTGCATGCATCAAGAAGATTTTAGAAATGGGTGAGGTACAGGAGACAGAGGTAAGAATTATACATACATACGCAACCCTATTTCTATGTTCTTTTCTTGTCTTCCTTTTATTTCCCCTTTGAGGGGGTGCGGGTACCCATCATCTATCATGGTCGTGAATGAAAGGGGAGAAGCACACAAAACGTAATCAAGAAAATCTAACGTGTGGGATTAACGAACAAAATTATAGGCTCCCCAACGTTACGGGACAAAGAATGACTCCATGGGTCCGAGGGTTAACCATTAAACTCCTTGGGAAGCGGGATGATTCGTTGACAATCCCTTGCCGCTTAACCTGAATGAAGGAGAAGAAGGGTCCTTGTCGTCTCCGATGCGAAATCGGAATATAGGAAAGGGAAATGAACCGAGCAAATGGCTAACGGTTTGTCATCATTATCGTCATTATCATTATTATTTCGGTTGCTATATTACGTCTGTGTGACGTGATATGATGGCTTATTTATGTATGTTTTTATATATTTGTTCTCTGAGTTGTGATGTAAATAAATAAACGTGAATGAAAATTTTTATTTTGAAGAAATGGACACACGAAGCAGTAGGAGGGTCACTTGAGCCCCTCCCTGCGATGGATTTTACATTTATCTGTCTCGCAGTGATGATGATGCTGGATATGTTACATATACAATACATCCTGCATATTCAATAATTCGACGGTTCTATATAACCTAAAGACTATATTACTCTTACCAGTATTACTGGAAATTGCGCTCCTTGATCGAGATGTAGTTAGTACGCTTCTTTGTGGTATTGTCTCGGAGGTCAGTGGGATTTGTGCTATGCCATACTATAAAGCAGAGACCTGTGCTGTGTAGCTCGTCATTGCAACCCTCATGATTGGCAGTAGTAGCCAAGAGGTTAGGTATATCACAAAGCCGCCAGAATGTGGACACAGCTATGGTATCAAGAACCAAAAGAAAAGCGAAATGAGGGCAGCCAGGACGGAAAGTTGATGAAGATGAAGAATGATATTCAAAAGCTAAATTTAATACGATAAACTAAATTTGAAAGGTCCCAATATTCTCCAAGTTTAGGGTTTGCTCACATGGTGGTTGAGCAGGGCTTAGGGACATGATGGATGGGCATTCGGTTTCTGCCCATAAGTCCTCACTGAACCACGCATTCGAGCAATTAGTGTCGACTTCCTCCACTTAGAGTTTCCTGGATCTTTTCACCAATCATGTCTCCAACTTTACCCATTACCTTATCAGCGATGGTTTCTATGTCAAATGAATAATCAGTATGCAACTTGTAGAAATGAAAGGATAGTCATGAGATAAAAAGTTGGGTGGGTACCGAGTGTTTTCGTTTAACCTCCTTGAACCCTGTTAAATCAGAACTCACCCTTCTGACCATACTCCCCAGAGTCGCTCCTATCTCCATACTTATTCGAGGACTTCGACCCGTATTTGTCCTCATCATCGCCATCACGCCCGCTGGAACCATATGAAGTCTTATGTCGATCAGAAGAACCATAAGAATCACCATCATCACGACGGCTGGTGTTAGACCCATAGGTGGTAGTATCGTCATCACCACGGCTCGTCGAGCCATAAGTCGAGCTCTTGTTTCGATCGGAGGAACCGTAGGAATCATCCTCATCGCGCCGGTTGTTGCTGGACCCGTACGAGGAGTCATTTCTATTCTGGTTATCAGAGCCATATGAATCACTCCCTCTTCCAGTATTTCTAGAGGATCCGTAGGAATCATTGTCGTCCCTCTTACTGCTACCGTAGCTGTCATTATTGGTTCCAGAGGAACCATAGGAGCTCTCGTTTCTATCGGAAGAGCCGTAGGAATCGCTTCCCCCCGTACGAGCGGACGAACCATAGGTATCATCGCGGTTGCTGGATCCATAGCTGTCGTTGCCACTGCCTGTGCGGCCAGAGGAGCCATAAGACCTCTCGTTATCACGCTCGCTCGACCCGTATGAGTCAGAGCCTCCGGTACGGCCGGAAGAGCCATAAGAGTCATTGTTGTCACGATTGCTGGAGCCATATGAATCGTTGTCACGTTTGGTGTTGCTATTGTCGTTGTAGTCGTCCAGAGATCCGTAGGAACCAGTTACGCCAGAACGGCCTGATGACCCGTAGGAATTATCATCGTCCCTGCGGTTGGAGGAGCCATAACTATCCTCATCACGACGGGATGTAGACTGGCTGATGTTAGTAATGTTGCCATATCGTTATCAGAAAAGCATCAATTGGAACTGGAATGGGCTGGCCAGCAAGGGAGATGAGATTGTGATTTTACTCCGTCGTAGCCGCTCTTCCACGAGCCTGCACGTATTATAAGAAAATTGGACTGCGGGGAGCTCAACGGCAGTAAAATGTGTCACTCACATAGCCGTCACCACTGCCGTTGTAAGACATTGTCAAAGAGTAGAGGGCAAAAAATAAAACGTAGAAGTGAAATAACTGAGGTGATAATTGGAAACAATGGAAGAGTACATTTTCACTTTGTATGCTAGAGGATGTAACTATTGACGAGACACAGACGGAGCCGATGCAGAAGCGTGGCTGAAGCAGATATTTATCTTTTCAGCAACATAATCTACTTCTCATGGGAGAGAGGGTTAAATCCTCGACACGCAACATTCCGGAATATCACGCCCACAATTGTCACCACC